GTGTGTCCTTGTTCAGCTAATGCTTGCGAAAGATTAATACTACCATAATATCTATCCAAAAAAAGACAATGTTTTTTTTCTAATTGGCTTGTGATGCCTGACACTAATTGAGGAACTGTCTCTTTGGAAATTGGAGCTCCTCTTACAAACTTTTTCCTCTTGCTTTGTGCAATGGCAGGGTCTTCTGGTTCTTCCATTGTTCTTTTCATTAGTTGAGCATAAACAAGAAAACCATTCTTGTCAGCAATTGTATACAGCTTACACCCATTTTTCTCTGGTTTTTTTGGCATGAAAACATGGTGAGGATTATTCCTCATCATCATACCAACCATTGATTCATCGAATGCAAGCACTGTTCCTGGTTGATAAACTTCTTTGGAATTTTTGTTAAAAAAAGACTCCACCACATCAAAGTCAAACTTCAAACAAGCTGCCATTTCAGCAAACTTGTGATACTTCATTCTCGACTTGAAAAAAAGACCATCACCAGTTGCATCAACCGTTGGCATCCTCCAACAATCAACAATTTTAGTCCTTTTTTCCCCATTGCCCAATTTAAAGAGAAGACAAAGAAATGTTTTGAAATCTTTCTTCTTGAAAGGTTTATTAAACCGTTTCAAGTAATTGTCTCTGCTTTTTTGATCATTCTTTGTTAAAGGTCTTCCTCTCTTTCCTTTCTCCGAACGAGCTTCAATTCTATGACGTCTTCTTTCATTCATTTGCTTCAACAAATACTTCTCTATTTCCGGAGTAAAGATTTTACTAAACATTGATAGTGGTGTAACTTCTTCCGTAGTGAAGGTGAATTTTAAACTTCCCTCTTCTTCATTCGGAATAGGAGGAAGCTTGTCAGTTAATTCAAATGGTTTATCATTGATTTGTAATTGAAATAAATCTATCCCTCTCATAACTTCGGCTTCTTCTGCAGAAATCTTGTCTGTGGACTCATCCGAACAGTCAGACTGAACATCCTCATCATCATTTAATTCAGGAACTTCGCTTACATCTTCATCATCATCATCAGACGTAAATTCAAAATCCATGATGGTTTGAGTGTTATTGTTTACCTGGGTTGTTTGGGTTGTGTGTTGTGTATAATCTTGTGAAAGCATTTTTTTAAGGCCATCATTGTTTACCGTAATGTAAAGTTATTGTACAGTATTGAGGAGAAATAAATCTTAATGAATCTAGATTTTTCAAAAATTAATGAGAGACGCAACTCGAGACGCAGCCTGACTAGGCTCCAGCGAGTTGTAGTGTTTTATTAAAGTCCTACAGAAATACTCCCTTTAATTCTTTCAAATCCACCCACATTATTAAATTATTAAACTTTCATAAATTCCTTGATAAATAAATATGAACATTTCTTTTCAAGTTGCACCTTTCAATTTAAAACATATCAATTTTCAAATAATAGTTTTGTTACCACTTCACATGAAAAAATAAGAAAGCACACAGATCTTCAAAATGGCAAGATCTCACAAACAGTGTCCAAGTGCTGTGGCAGGTTGTAAGTGCTGCTCCACTTTCGGAATTAAATATCACAGAGAAAAACATCTTTCACAACGATCTTCAAAGAGAAAAACAAAGGAATTTCTCAATGATTCATCACGACACATTTCCGATGCCTTGCCATCGAGAGAATATGTTCATTCTGATGTGAGATTGGTTCGACATGTGGAGAAGTATGTGGATTTGAAAGATTATCTCTCCTACCTGGAATGTTATGATGAGGAGAGGAATGAAGGCCTTAGGAACATTGAAAAACAAGTAAAGAATGAAATGATGGAAGAGTGGAAACTAATGAAACCATCCCATGTTGTAAAAAAGGCAATTAAAAAATTAGAACGAGAAGGAGAGTTTACAATTTTCGACAATCAGGAAATTGAACTTCCCAAAGAATGTAAAAAGAGAATAGTCACTTGGGAAAATCAAGCTAGACAAATCATACGTGAAGCCAAAAAATATGAGCAAACTGGCTCACTAAGTTCATTCAATTCCTACAGGATTGTGATGAAAAAATAAATGTACTTTACAATGAAACTCTTCAATTCAACAACATTAGCTCAATGTTATTCTCATCAAGATTTATCTGAGAGAAAATCTCAAGTTAGTAACAAATGGAATAAATGCGCACGTACAAACCTTCCTTACCGATAGAAAAATCGAAATGCTTCGGGTTTGCAAATTGCAAAAAACCAAATAAATAGAATGAACATGTCGAGTGATGAAAGAA